CAGACTGGCAAGATGCCAGAGGAAGGGCAGGACATGAGAGAAGTAAATGACCAACAGAGGAAGACCAACAAAAAGAGGAGAGAGTTGCTGGGGAAACGCTGAAATCCAGCTAGGACTGTAAAAGTCCTTCCCAGCCATCTCTATGAAGCACTCAGGAAGAAACTGATCGTGGCTCTGCTGGAGCTTCCAAGGCTCCTTGATCTTCATGGGAGGAAACATGGCTATCATGGAGACAGTTTTTACCTCACATTAATGCTCCTGAAAAAAAGTTTTCAATGTCTGCATCTGAATAGATGTCGTTCTAATAGACTATAATATTTTAAATCTAAATATACTGCCCTCCATGTCAGCTGGCTCTGCAGCAATCCATTTCTTGCCAAAATATTGAATCTGGAGCTCCTTCATACTAGAAGCATTCATTTATTCCACAAGGCTTCTGTTTACTTTTTTCTATCCTGTTGAGTACCTGGAGAAGAACATCTCAGGGTACTGCTCCACTAAGTTCTACTGATGGTTCTAAGATACATTAATTCTTAACTAACACTATTAGTACAAGACCCTTTATCAGGAAAGACCCTGCAACCTGCTTTAAGGCCTCTGCTTCAGGTTTGAGATGCTGAAGAACGGTCTGCGCAGACGGCACAGTTTGGATTTCTCCATCTGCCCGAAAAACCACTTTATTATCTGTGTTCCAAACCAATAAGCATTTCATTTCAACATCCCAAGAACATCATTTCTGGTTTTGTTTGTTTTGTTTTTTTAAATAACAGCAACAAACCACAAAAGGCCAAAACTTCCACACATTCTGCTTCATCTGAGGGTCAATAAACCTCACACTCTTTGCACAATCCTACTCTGGATTGAATCCTTCATATTCTTTGCATATCAGGTAAGGTATATGAGGGAGGTCCTTTCCTCCAGCTTTTTTTCTTTTTCCTAGAATATAGATTTCATTGAAGAGATCTAGCATAATTAACACTCTCAACTGTTTAGCCGAGATAAGAATTTACATACTCTGGCTCCAAACCTGGTCCTGTTGTCATACTTCTGGCTGTACTTTTGTTTTTTTCTCCAGTGGATCTGTCTGACTTGGAAGAAACAAGGTAGCAAGGTAAAGATGGCTTTGGAGATGGTGTCAGTATGAATCTGGACTTTAAAAGCATTTCCGGTACTTGTGTATTTTCGCTGTAAAGCATTTCCCAAAGGAATTTCCCAATACGCATAAATACTGAAACAACTTCAGTAGCAGAATCACTCATAGAAACTTAACAGTGAACGTCCAGGCCTACAATAGAATTTGTATTTATGTTTTCAGCCTTTTTAACAATTTTCTTGAAGCCTGTTCTGTTATTGTTCCTCACACTAGTTATCTTGTTATGAATATTTAAGAAGTCTCACAGGAAATTATGGGCATGGGACTCAAGCAAGATTTCCTGCCTGTTAATCACTACTGAGTGACACTTTCCTGACACAGTCTACTGAACAAAAAAGCAACTTGTATTTCGGTAGTTACACTGAAGGGGAATAGTAATGGGTAACAGTGGTAGAAGGTGTCCAGTATAGTAACATTTTAGTGTTGTTCTTGTTTTTTACTATAGTAATACATTTATCTGGTGGAACTTCTGAAACAACAGCAGATAAAAAGTAAAAAGCCACCCATGTATATTCCACACCTTCAGCAACATTAGACATGGTAAAAAAATGCTAGAAAAGAAAAAATGGAGACGGGTTATCTGAAACAAGGGCCTCCAATCAGATATGAAGATAATTGAGAACTGAAAAGATTAAAATTGATCATTTTATTATTTCAGTATTTGAAAGGGATGACAGAAGCATAGAAACACAGTTTGGTTTTCTGAAAAGATAGCTTATAAAAAATTAACATAGATTTTACTGCTAAAAATGTGCATTTGAATGTCTGTGGTTGCACATGATTTACTACTGTACACTCACAAAAATTTTTTAGACAGGCAGTTTTGAGAATTGCTTCTGAAGATTTCTAGAAAAAAATAATGCTTTTCCATTTTTCATAAACTACTTTTTACTTTGAAATTCAAGAAGTATATGAAAACTTATCGACTTCTAGTTATTTTTATCAGAAACACAGCAACATTTACCCAAAAGGAAACTAAAAACCCATCCATAAGCCACCATTTCCTATGACAGACAAATTCCTAAGAGGAGAGATCACCCTGACACATTATCTTAAACCTCAGTAGAGCTCATATTCTGCAGTTTAACATGAAAAATAAATGCATTACATGTTACAGTGCCCTTCCATTAGTTTTGAGGCATCACACTCTGAACACAATCAGTTAAATTTCTCATAACAAATCTGTTATTATATGACAGGACAGTTCCTTTCAGTCTCTGCCCCTATTGTTATATTAGAAACTATGAAATCAATTGCACTCTGTAAGAACTAACTTGCTAAACTTAAAACTTGCTTCTTCCTACGATGACTATATTAAAATAATTCAGACTAGATGTTAAATACCAGACGAAGATCCCAACTGCCTAAATAACTGAACTTTCTGAAATGAAAAGAGTTCAAATTCCAGAAGCAGAGATTCAGAACACCCCAATTTTAGCAATTATCAATTAAAGGAAGTAAAATTGGTACAGTAAGAGGGAAACATTTCTACTGTAGCCCCATAGTCTATCTTGGAACATGAAGAATTGTGTGTGTGGGGGATGTGAATGGTCACTTAACCCTCATTTCTTTAGGAACAACCACATCAGTATCAACAAGCTGTAGTTTTCTAAACTATTGTGCAAAACAAGTACTGTGCTAAAAATATGTTGTTACTCAAACTTGGAGATATTCTCTCCAGAGATAGGATTTCCTGATATGAGAATCAAATTAATAGGAAGTGCCCTTCCTGTGTTTTCTCGACTGCTAGACTAATGAGTTTGTTTTCAACAGACTTTTAAAAACAAAAAAAAAAAAAAGGAAGAAAGAAAGAAAGGAAGAAAGGAGCAGATTAAACAACTGATCAGTGGTCACTAAAGTAAATTGAACTGGTATACAAAGTATACATGTGGTAGACCACCATCTTCTCCACAATGTTGTAGCAAAATTGATTTCCCCTGTATTTCCACAAGGAATTTTTATAGGAATTCCCATGAGACACTGTCATTTGGTAACTTTTACTTTACATGTAGTCCTATTAAAACCTGATGGGAATGCTTCTGAAAGAACCAAGCACAAAGATAGACTCCGAGGGAAGTTAACAGCTCTAACCAGATGTGTACTATGCCAAAACTAACTCACTCCAACTGAAAAACACTAAATACATTTAACACTCTTAACTTGAACTGTAACTATATCTCATATACTCTGTAGCATACTGCAAGTTAAAAATACCTTATCTAGGATTAGGACTACATCAAAGTAACAACCAAAAACAATTTTGAAGAAAAATGACTGTGCTTCACAACCAATTAACTTTTCAAGTCAGGTGCTCTGCATACAGCAAAAACATGCAGCCAACGAGCTGAAATATGTGTACAAATGCAGTTTTCTTTTTAATCCTGGTTACATATTTGATTTTGATATCTGAGGGATAAGGGAAAATCAGACAGCTCCAGCACACGGTCAGACTAGGAAGCTCAACAGTCTCTTTTACTATTGCTTTTTCCAACATGCTCAGAACACTAACCCATCATTAAGGACAGATAACAATATAGATTTTGACAGACTGGATCCCCTTGACTTCCCACTGCATAAACCCAGGTTCCTGCAAGATTCTTGGGTGTCTGCAACATTATGTCACCAATAAGGGATGACCAGCTGCAATGACTGGCAGATTCCCATAGAGAAACAAAGCTTCTTTGACATGATAATAAGCTTTATCTTTACTACTTCCAAATTACCTGACTTAAAACATATACAACAGTTCTATTCTATAATTAAACTTCATGCACAGAGACACAAAAGATTTTGTCTTAACACGGATTTATTTCATCTTGAATCCCCTTGTTAACAGCAGCTTGCTTACTTGTTTATCATAAATTTCTCTGATTTTGATAGTTTATGTTAAAAAAAAAAAAAACACAAACCTTTACTATAAATTTATTTTAATAAAATGCTCTTTTAATCCAGGACTAGTAAATTATTCAATTTTCACACAATTCAAGATTCAAAGAAAGCCAAGCCCTGTTCTTGTGAGAGATCTCAACCTTTCCACCTGACAACATTGCTGATAATGACTCAACTGTAAAAATCTGGAGAAGTTCTCAGGAACTTTCCTCAAAGCCGTGCCACTCCTATCCTATGGCAAGAAGTGTGAGACACGCTGATGTAATCCTGTGCTTTCCTGTGTATTGAAGTAAATACTAAACATTTCCCCTCTTTATGGAATGCTTAAAGTATTTTATCTTTTGTTTGTTTTGTTTTTTTTTGTTTGTTTGTTTTGTTTTAATGCAAATTTTGAAAAGAATTTAGGCTAGTCATAGATAAACCTTACAAACACTTCGAATATATTTTGTCTTTTTAGATGTCAACGATGTCATTAATCTCAGAAGAATGTGACTGCTTTAAAATCTTGTGTCAAAATTTGTATTTCAAATATGCTCAAAGCCAGGTATCTCTGTATGTTTTTCTACTAATAAAAACAAAAAATATCCACATTAATGGCAAACTTTAAGTACTGGTGCAGACCAAAGAAATAGCTTAATTGTGCTCTGGACAGAGCATGAGCTGGAAGGAAAAGAAAAAAGTTCAAGTCTCAAGAAACATCAGCCTGCTGTTGAAACTGCCCTGTGATGAACCCCTCAAACTCATCCTTTCAGAGATGAGTACTCTTACAGAAGCAGTACCTCTGTGCTGTCAGAGCAGCACAAAAGGCAGAAAACTAAAGGGTACACTGACAGATGTACCCTTTCTTCTGAACACTGAGTATAATTTGTATGTGACATGTAATTTTTGAAGACCTTCAGTGTACTTCCTGAAACAAAAAGAAAAAAAATTCAGCTATGGTAATAAACAAAAATCTCACCTTGTTATGTTCATACTTGTACGGGATCTTGAGGGTATCCATGGCTCTGATCATGGCCTGCATTGCTGTGAAGATATTCTGGTACACCAGTTTTGTAAAGCCCCTTTTGTCTTCATCAGAGTAACCTGATCCATGAATGATTCTCATCTGCTTGATAAATGTGCTTTTGCCACTCTCTCCTGTGCCTGCAAGACAAAAAATAAGGATATACTTTAGTCACTGAATGCAAACATGATTTTTTAGGACAATGCTGACAGCTTGTTAATTGCAGAGCAGAACAGTGTCAAGTGCTCTACACTTGTAACTGTTCTATACAGTAACTGCAAGGATCAGTTGGATATCCAACAGAAGTACCAGTAACAACTGACCTGCTGAATTGACGCTTGCATTTTGAAGATACGATATAGAAGGGTGATTTAACAACTACACTAGTATCTAAACCAAATCTCATAAATGTAAGTATTATACAAAAAATCATATATGCATGAGTATAATATAATGCATATGACCAAATATTTAAAATCATGTAAATGTAAATTTCAATTATTGAAAATACTTTCCAAGACCTCCAACTTCAGATTATTATTACGAGACTTTTTAAATCATAAAAATTCATAAAGTAAGAAAAAGTTATCTTGTTTGGCCAACTTGCAGGATATTATGATAGGCAGCAGTGAACAACCAGGAGACTAAAAAATAAATAAATTAAACTAAATACTGTTACAGCCCTGCAAACTTTAACCTAAGAAACATATGAAATCAGCCTTAATTAAGATTTGGCTCATATTCATTAATGGGTGGTCATTCCTTCCTTCAGATTACTTTCTGTCTTTGAATTTTAGACAAGCCAAAAATGGTATTTTTTTTTAATGAACACCTCTGAATATTTGCCTATTTAAAGTTAAGACCTGCTTGTTAGAAATTTCATGCAGGATACATCACACATTTTTTCCCTTTCAATGAGCTCATCCTCTGTGATTAGAAGAGCTTATCTAAATTATTCCTATGTTTGCTTAAAAGGAGGAGTTGAAGTTTAGAACGAACAGTTGCACAGCACCATAAACCCTACGTCCAGCCAGATACCCAGCCCTCCAGGAAACCCAACACATTCACCAGGGTACATTGCTCAGCGCAGTGCTTTTCAGCCTGGGTTTTACTTTAATCATTTCTGTAAGGCTTTCATGCCTCATGCTTTCAACTCAGGACAAAGGCAGCCTGATGAGGTACATGGTGTTTCAGGTGTGTTCCACAGCTGCACAGTGCACAGTTGAAGCATGATGTAGCACTGGCAACCCTTCAGCAGTTCTGAGGTAGCACACCCTGCAAACATCTAAGCTGGAAGCCTCTTAAAACCATGAGCATTGTTGTGAAACCTTCAACCTCATTTCTCATACATATAGAACAAACTTCTAACAGAAGTCTTCCTTACACACACTTCCAGAAAATCAAGCAGAGTGCTATATACTGACCTATTTTACATTTTCTGGGGAGACATGAGAGATTGCTACTGTAATGAAAAAGGACATGTTCTGAAGCTGAAAAGTGAGACCAAGCCTGCTACCACACTGCCTTCACTGGGATCCTCAGCCTGTGCTGTGGCCAAGAGCACAGCACAAAAGGCACCAACGACCTCTGCAGGGCACTGCATAGCCACCAGGCAGGACTCTCCCCCTGCGACATGACAAATTGCAGATGACAAAACTGGGAAGAGTGACCGATACACCAGGGGGTCACGCTGCCATCCTGAGGGACCTTGACAGGCTGGAGATACAGGCTGACAGGAGCTCCGTGAAGTTCAATAAGGAGTAGCATGAAGTCCTGCAACTGGGAAGGAACAACCCCAGGCGCCAGTACAAGCTGGGCAACACACAGCTGTAAAGCAGCTCTGCAGAAAGGGTCCTGGAAGTCCTGGTGGACACCACGATGAATATGAGCCAGCCATGTGCCCTAGCTGCAAAGAAGACTGATGGTATCCTGGACTGCACTATGCATAGTATTGCCAGCAGGTTGAGGGACATGATATTTCCCCTCTACTCAGCCCTGGTGAGGCCACACCTGGAGTGCTGTGCCCAGCTCTGGACTCCCCAGTACAAGGGGCACATGGACATACTGGAGACAGTCCACTGAAGGGTGATGAAGATGATGAAGGGACTTCCTACAAGGAAAGCTGAGCAAGATGGGACTGTTCAGCATGAATAAAATAGGGCTCGGGGGGGGATCTGATCAATGTCTATAAATACCTGAAGGGAAGGGACAAAGAGGATGGAGATCCATACTATTTTCAGAAGTGCCCAGTGCCAGGACAAGTGCCAATGGGCACAAACTGGAGCACAGGAGGATCTGCCTGCACACCAGGAAACACTTCTTCAATGAGTAGGTGACAGAGCACTGGCACAGGCTGCCCGGAACAGTAATGGAGCCTCCCTTCCTGGAGATCTTCAAAAGCCTGGTCTTTAAAAACATGATCCTGGACAAACCCTTCCAAGTGACCCTGCTCGAGCATGGGGTTGGCCCAGATGACCTCCAGAGGTCCCTTTCAACCTCAGCCGTTCTGTGAAATTTGTGCTAACCAAAGGCTGGCCTTTGCAATAAAGGGGATGTATTACAGATAGTCCTGGGTCAGTTATCAGAAAGATTTCTGATTTCCCATTGATCAGATCTCAAGGTGAGATCTTTATACTTCCGGAATCTACTACAGATTGCTTTCCTTAAGAATTTATAGAATTATTGACATAGGCAATACAGATTTATTACACTATTTTCTCTTGTTCTAAAACATATCAAGTGAAGTCATGTTCATCAAAATCATGTTTGTATGAATCAAAGCCATGTAAGTGATGTTCCTATACATAAGTGACATAAATATACACATACACACGTTTGGTAATATTTTCTAGTTTATCTGTAAGGTATGTCACACATTTAATAAAAAGTCTGTTCAGCTTGAACCTACAATGCACAGAACGGCATGTGATTATGTCTTTTTGACATGATTAACTCTTACCAAGAATTCTGCTTTAACTAACACAAAAGAAAGCCAATTGCACCATGCTTTCAGAACTGGGGAACCCTGAGTCCTTCAAAATCCCCAAATGCAAATTTAGTAATCTAGTGCTGAGATAATTGTATTATTGTGATAACTGCATTATTACTATTATTATCTACACTGTTTTAAAAACTGAAGCATTTAATTCTTTATTTAATTCTTTTAATCCGGAGGGGGGGGGGGAGGGGGGAGAGGAGAGTATAGGTATCAAAGAGTATAGGTACTAAAGAGTACCACACACAACTGGGAAGAAAAAATACTGATAAAGCGCTCTGTGTCATGTTAGAGAAGACAGTGTTTCAGAGTATTGACATCTAAAGCATGTCTACAAAAAATGCAATACATTGGCATACAAAATTAAAATCCAAAAGAAGTATAAAAACCTAAGTAGTCTGCATCTTACTGCTTTTTGTGGTTGTTCAATTGGGTGGCACTGTACTACTACTTTGTCAGCTGAAGACCATTTACAAACTATCCTTGGAGACCAAAAGGCATATAGGGGTCTATGGGTGTGGGTATGTGTGCACTTCTCCACTGAAAAGAGGCTGAGGGAGTTGGGGTTGTTCAGCCTTCAGAAGAGAAAGCTCTGGGGATATCAATTGCAACCCCCCAGTACCTAAGGGAAGCCTGCAGGAAAGCTGGGGAGGGACTCTGTCAGCGAGTGTACAGGACGAGGGTAATAGCTTTAAACTAGGTGATTGTAGGTTTAGATTAGATATAAGGAGGAAATTCTTTGCTCTGAGGGTGGTGAGGCACTGGAACAGGTCGCCCTGACAAGCTCTGGATGTCCCTCGAAGTGCTCAAGGCCAGATTGCACGGGGCTTTGGGTAGCCAGGTCTAGTGGGAGGTGTCCCTGCCCATAGCAGGGGAGTGGAACTGGATTGTCTTTAAGGTCCCTTCCAACCCAAACCATTCTATGATTCTGTATATGTATGAAAATAATATATTTTATGTACATACAAATATGTAAACACTACCCATATATGCAAAAAATCTGGTTTGTATCTATGTGTATTTTTCATTTCAATAAATAAACAAACCACACTATTCATACATATTTAAAAAATGGTATCTCTGGTTTTTGAAGGCCATTTAAAGCTTTGCCTCAAGTCCATCCCTCTTCAGGTCAGTGCTCAAACATACCTTCTATGTATGCCCACAAGCTAATCTTTTGGTTGTATCATTAGCAAAAAGGAGAACATTTCTAGCCCTCTGCTGCAATAAGCACCATATATAAAGGGGCAATATGTGAAAAGTAGTCCTGGTGAAAAAGGAAATCATGGGAAAATACCTGCAAAGAACACACTAAAATAGGATAAAAATATAAATGATAGATAACAATAAAAATTACAGGAATGCCCCAAGATTACTAAGAGGTGAAAATGTTCATTTTCAGCACAATATAGAGGAACTGACAAAAATTCACCTTGACAGTTATGATCGACAGAAAGTCTTTTCTATTGTTGCTGACAAGAAGTGCACGCAAAGAAAATGTTAGGCATGATTTTGTTTTTAAAGAAAAGAATGGAATCAAATCTTCCTGTAAGAAAGTCCTGTTTACATGTAAACTGTTCAGTAATGATTGAACACCACTTACTCTACAGCATTTTACTCAGATACTTTGACCAAACCAATTAGGAAGAAAACAAGCAAGATTATTTACTGTCATGTAAACAGGGAAAAATTGGACATAACAAATTACCTGGGTTAGCTAAGCAAAACTGCAATCATTACAGCATTATCCCCGCTAAACAGTGGGATATTACTGTTATAGCACTGAAGTCAAACCTAAGTTTATTTTTTTAATGTATATTTTAATCTTCTAAAATCCTATCATTGGCATTACGAGAATATCAAAGCAAGGACTGATACCACACCAACTGTGTTCTCTACAGCCTCACCCATTACAGAGCAAGTTAAGAGATTCAAGTTGGCAACACACGCGAAGATTGTATCACTATAGTAAACAACAACAACACTGGGTAACAGACTCTGGAGCGGGTTTTGCTTGGTGAAAAACGCAAAACTGAGAAGTGGATTAAAAAAATCCACATGTACTGTCAGCAAGCGCTTTACTGCTTCTGTTAACAATTGCTAACCACCATCATCCCAGATGACACGGCTCTAGCTGATATAAGG